GATATGTAAATGAAGCACCATGCAGGATGGCAGAGGGGCAGGTAAGTGTCTTCACAGGTGCTGGAGTCCCCAAAAGATAGCTCTCCAGAGTCAGGAGATGCTTTGATTTCCCTTCTTTATCTGTTATGTGATGTCATAACAGAGCCACGTTGGAAAGCAAATCATATTAAAAAGCTAGGAATTTGGCAAGGTTAAAAAAAGAAGGTGAGGCTGGTGCACCGGTTCAGACCTAATCATCCCAGCACTTTGAGAGGTGGAGACACCAACTCCATGGCTCAACTTGCAGCCCCTCGCCTTTGGGAGGCTGAGGTGAGTGGATTGCCTGAGCCTGCGGGTTCGAGATCCACCTGGGCAACTTGGCGAGACCTCATCTTTACAATAAATAAAAAATTAGCTGGACATGGGTAGCGTGCACCTATAGTTCCAGCTACTTGGAAGGCTGAGGCGGAAAGGATCGCCGGCACCCAACAGGCGAAACTGAAGGTGGCCGGGAGCGGCCACTGCACTCTAGTCTGGGCAACAGAAGTGAGACTCCAACTCAAAAAAAAAAAAAAAAAAGTGGAAAAGACTCAGAAATATGGTCTCTTACAAATTTTTTGTTTATTGCTTTTGACATGTAGAGATAGGCATAAATATCATCTTTTTTACTAGAAAAATATTGTTTGGGGGATGTAATGATGTAACTGATATTGTCCTATAAAATTTGTGATGTTGTATAGGAAGTACATCATTTGTTCATGTTTGGGAATCACTGCCATTGTCATAGCAAGCACTGTTAGTTAGGGACCCAAAACCCATTCCTCCCCAACCTTCTACCTTTCTGGAGGAAACTGTTTTGTCTTGTTTTGTTTTACTTGTCTACCTTACAACCTCTGGGGTCAAGTGCTTAGGAAAGATACTTTCATAGATAGCTGAGTAGTAGATCCAGAGTATTCTATGCCAATGATGGCGATCTCTTCCTAGGGCTAGCTTAGAAATGGACATGTAGGTACAATTCTAAGATATAAAATAGAAGTCTGCTGGGGAACCTTCCTCACTGATATAAAAAAAACAAAAAGACAGACTTTGCAGCAACTCGGACGGATTTAGAGTTGATCATACTCAGTGATCTATCACAGAAACAAAGAACTGAGTACCACATGTTCTCACTCATAAGCGGACCCTGGACATTTACCATAATACCATAAGAAAGGGATTGGCAGTAGCAGGATACTACTGGGAATGGTGGGGGACAAAACATCAATAAGTGTACCTGATCTCAAACCAGGCAAAGTGGGGACCAAAGGGAGACCCAAGCTTTACCTATATGATGACCATTTGTATTCCTTTTTTTTTTTTTTTTTTTTTGAGTTGGAGTCTCACTCTGTCACCCAGACTGGAGTGCAGTGGCCCTCCCGGCCACCGCAGCCTCGACCTGCTGGGTTCCGGCGATCCTTCCGCCTTAGCCTTCCAAGTAGCTGGAATTACAGGCATGCGCTACAATGCCCGGCTGATTTTTTGATTTATTGTAGAGATGGGGTCTCGCTGCC